GGGGGGGGGGGGTACGTCGGAAATTTGAAAGTTTTGTCGGAAATTTAGGAGGCTTTGCCCCCCACTGGAAAAAGTGAATTTCTGCCACTGATAGAATCTGTTAAGAATACAAAGAAACATAATCCTTTGGCTTTAGGAAACGTGAGTACTAGCTACGATCATGACATCGAAATTAATCTATTGAAATCGAAGCCACCTGAGTATTAATACATTAACAGTGTGGACAAAATATTCACTTTTCGAGAAATAACTGAAGAAGGAGTACTTACACTCTTACTAAACATGTCAACCAATAAAGCAACCGGTATGGACAGACTATCTATTAAACTAGTAAAGTCAGTATTAGCTCTTTTAATAACACATGCATGCAATATGACCGTAATATTTAACAAATTAATCGTGTCCATGGAACCTTTCCATTCGAATGGAAAATCTCAAAAGTTACCCCTGTTTATAAGACTGGACCAAGGGAAGACATGAACAACTATAGACCGATATCTGTCATTTTTATTATTGCAAAAACAATGGAAAAGTTGGTAATAATCAAATCTATGAATATTTCATAAAAAATGTCATGCTTACAAATTCTCAACATGGTTTTAGACCTAATCATTCCACAGTTACTGCAATGTTGAAATTGCGAACAAATGGTTTCTTAATATTGATATCGGCCAATTAAATGGGGTTGTATTTCTTGATCTTAAGCAGGTATTCGATACTGTAGATCATGAAATACTACATAAATTACATCTTTATGGGATAAAAGGAATTGCTTTTAATTGGTTCAGATCTTACTTATCGAACAGAAAGCATGCAATATTGTCAGGTAAACGATCACCTTTCCCACCCACTGGAAATGGTCTTCGGTATACCTCAAGGGTCCATACTTGGACCACTATTGTTTCTTAAATCCGTTAAGGTTACTTCACACGATGAACGTGCGTTTTAGTCTATTGGACATTACGCAACGAATTTTAGGTGTAACTACCAAATTTTCAGTGAAGAAAGCCAGGAAAATTCTGATTTCGAAAAATTTCATTTGAAGAATTTGATGGGTGTTCAGTTTAAACATTTTCAGTATTGGCTGATTTAATAAATATATAGGTACCTTGATAAAAAGATCAAAATATGTTTATAGTTTACCTCAACGTTTGTCTACATATCGCAATTCGAATCTTCATAGGCACGGTAAAAAAACGTGTGCGGAAAATTTCTCTTCTTTAGTGGTTTTTCTGATATGCACTGATTCTTGGATTTGTCACTGATAATTCACGAAGTAGTCAAAGAAAACGTCATATCAGAACCTATGATACCTATGAAGATTCAAATCGAGATATGTAGACAAACGTCGAGGTAAGCTATAAACATATTTTGATTTTTTTATGGGATACCTATATATTTCTTTGGTCAGCCAATACTGGACATGTTTAAACATAACATCCATCAAATGAAGATTTTCAAAATCAGCATTTTCTTGGCTTTCTTCACTAAAAATTTGGTAAAGTTACACCTAAAATTCGTTGCGCCAACAACAACAACAACAACAACAACAACAACAACAACAACAACAACAACAACAACAACAACAACAACAACAACAACAACAAACAACAACAACAACAACAACAACAACAACAACAACAACAACAACAACAACAACAACAACAACAACAACAACAAACAACAACAAACAACAGCAACAACAACAACAACAACAACAACAACAACAACAACAACAAACAACAACAAACAACAGCAACAACAACAACAACCACCAACACCCAACACCCAACACCCAACACCCAACAAACAACAACAACAACAACAACAAGCAACAAACAAATTAAACAACAACAACAACAACAACAACAACAACAACAACAACAAAGGCCTCGCTACCGTAGTACGTCTCTGACCGTACGGCAACCTCTGGGCTGAAACTGAGGCTATGTGCACACGGGCGCCGTTTTCGAGCGTTTTCAAAATATCTCCAATATATCAAATAAACTACAGCTTCTGTCGTAAATTAATAGTGTTTGCATCCGCTTTAGCGTGAAAACACAAATGAAAACGCTCGAAAACGTTACCGTGTGCACATATAGTCTGATAATAATCTGATCAAACAGGTCATACTGTTTTACAAAAACAGTGTTTGTTTCACGATGTCACGGCTTTTAAGTTTCAGCTATTTGAAAACACTTAGTTTTCATTACCTCCCTGCAGCTACATTCTTATGTCTCTTACTGTCTTACAGTAAATCCTTATCTTGATTTCATCAGTGTAAATAGAAATTCACACTTTTACAGCTGCTAAAGAGAATCTCACTTGAAAATTAATCCAAGACGGAGTGAATTGGTAATGAAGGCATTTAGTCTTCAGTAAATTAAGTAAGATTATAGATAGAATACTTTGTTTTAAGATTCGATTCAATATTATAATAATACGTACCTATTATGTATGTTGTGGTTGGTTTATTACGCATGCCCCGCTTAATCAGCAGCGTGAGCAGACGTGCTTTGTTGAGCTCTCTAAAATTTCAAAATTTTTGTAATACAATCCAATACAACACACTTGAATGGATGAAAAATTATATGAAAGACTATCCTGACGATTATTAGCGATTGAAAGTTGTTTATTCATTTGTACAATGAACAATATGGCAACCAGCTTAAGCGATAAGCTATGCATTGCATGGTCAGGTACTTATGAGTCTCTAAAACAGTTTGTAAGTGAAGATTTACAACTCAAAGGAACTTGGGAACAGCCTGGAGGTGATAGGAAGTTGTTTAGTTGTGATACATCAACTATACTATGGAGAAAGAATAAGGGATTGCTTTCCATCAATGGAGAAAATGCGACCGAAATCATGAGAGAGTTATGTAAACGGATGTGTAATTATCATGCAAATAATTCACAAGTATCTGCCTCAGCCCACACTCAACTATCAAATGAATTATGTGATGATGTGCATACGGATATTGAAAGTCTAAAACTGGGTCAACAAATCAATGGCGAAGCAATCCAGTCTCTATCGGCCTCTATCTCGTATATAACTTCTCAGTTACAAGATTTGGTGAACAAAAACAAGACTGATTCTGATATTTCCGCTTTGCCAAAGCAACCTTGCGTATCGGACGAGCTTACTGATTATGTAGATGCGGACAGTGCTGGTGTTGATAATTCTTTTGTCATACAAGAATCGACTAATCCTCGAACGAACAATGGGAGCACTACCGAACCAAGGCCAATTAATCGTGAAGAATACAATAATCAGTTTAACGAGTTAAACGGGAATGCTTCCGTAAATCCTATAGAAGTGAACCCAAATAGTGCATCCGCTGATGTTTCTATAGAAGATAATAATAGTACGAAAGCACATCACCCTACCTACGCAGAAAAAACGGCTAATCAAACCGCTACCAAAACAAACCACCAAGATCCTATCAAGAATAACCTAAGCAAGAATTCGGAGCATATCTCGCAGAGTGTGGTTTCTGAGGCCGGACAGTCGCCTGATGATTTTATTGGAGTACAGCGTAAACGTGGTAAGACTAAGAAATTGTTCGTAACGGGAATCGCTGAAAGTGTAAACAAAAGTCAAATCCTTTCTTACCTCAATCAAAGAAATATTTTCCCCACTTATCTCTCGGTTTTTCGAAGCCGCCGTCGAGAGACTCTTTCGTGTAAACTCCATATACCCTCAGGCGCCAGTGCACTGGTGGAGAAGGAAAACTTCTGGCCCACGTTTGTTACTTGCAAACCATGGCGACCAAAAGATCATGACATGAACACAACTCTGAAGAAAATAAACTCGACCCAGAATGCGAGCTACTCAACCCTTGTATAATGGCGGAGACACCCTTGCAAAACATTTCTACAGTACACGGTATGGGAA